CGTTTGCTTGGCCAGAAGCAAGGCGGCACGTCCGCAAAGTGGTGGAGACTTGCCTTATACTGATATTGCCTCGTGTGGTCCATGCCTTCTTTCACTGATTCGTCTCCCTACACTCAGGATTTCATCATTGAGCTGATTATCGTATGCGAAAATGTAGACGTTCGGATTGTGGTGCATATGCCATATGAATTCCTCGCGGACTTCAACAGGCGGAAGGACAGGGTCTAAGCCGGTGTATTCCTTGTAACTTGAAATATTGCACCTGCTTTCTGATGCAATTAGTTACAGTGCAGCATCCCGAGTCACGCCTGACCATCAGTTAGTTCTGACATCATGCGCCGCTCGTTTGCCGGATGCCGTAGTTCAAACAAATTCTTTGACACTTGGATAGCCATGTTGCGAATCACGAATCTTTCCGGTACCCATTTGGCAAACATTCCCCTGGTGGAGCTCAGCGATGTCAAAGCACTCAAGCAGCAATTGCACAAGCAGCATGGCCTGCCGCCGCGCTTCAGACAAAGGATCCTTGACGAGGGAAAGGTGTTGGATGATGGTATCAAGCTGGAGTCCCCAGCGCTTCTGGAGGTTACCTCGAGCTCGGTAATGGATCTGCAGGTTTTGATCTTGGAGTTTTGCGAGGCTTCCGAAGAGCAGAAGGACCAGCTATGGGATGCGGCCGACGAGAATTTCGTGGCCGAGGCAGTGGGCGGGGTACTGAAAAAACCGTCTTTGAAGTGACATGCAGGAAGTCTAAGTCTAAGTTTAAGTTGTCTGGAAAACAAAGCCGTGGTGTGCTGTTTGCCATTGCTTGACTTCTCAGCCTGGTTCAACGGAACAAAAGGGTCGCAACTAGTCAGGTCGAAGATTTGTTGAAGCTCCCGATGAACCCGGATTTTGTCGACACTTATGAATCCATCACGCCATTGATGCAAGCCTCCAAAAACGGCTACCGGGCTGTGGCGCAACTGCTCCTGGAAGCCGGCGCTGATAAGGATTTCCAAGACGGCGCGGGGTGCACGGCATTGATGTGGGCATTGGAATGTGAGCAAGCTGAACCAGTTCTCCGGATGCTGTTGGAGGCAGGTGCAGAAACGGATATTCAAGACGATGGTGGGTGCACGGCGCTGATGCACGCTGCTCGCTGCGGTGAAGTTGAGTCTGTGTGGTTGCTCCTAGAGATGGGTGCCAATCCGGATCTCCGCGATGCACACGGACGCACGGCCCTAATTCTTGCAGTTTCCGCTGGTCGTAAACGAATTGTGGAGTCGCTCTTGGAGGGCCGTGCTGATCAAAATGTACGTGACAATGACGGCTGGACTGCGGCAACGCTGGCGCGGGACTTTGGTCACTGCAATCTCGCACAGTTGCTTCGATTCACTTACCAGACTCAGAGACAATCGTCCCGGAGTCGGAGTCCTACAGTTGCTCCTGGACGTCGGACTTGAAACCTCTTCTTTCACCTCTTGTCTTGCATGGCTATCGTTATCGCAAGCACACAACAACTTGAGCTGTGCAAAACCTAACCGGCAACGACTAGAGGATTCATCCTGCGCTGCAAAGAAAAGTTGTGTGTCTGTCTGTGTGCTTGCATTGATGGCAGCGGGTCCTGCTAGATTGGAATGCGTCCGAGAGACTGTGTGTTTCTGCTTGGGGAAGAGGGATTGCGAAAGCATGTTCGCATTTTCACACATGTGGAATTTGTCACGTGCAAGCACATGGACAATCATTTCGAGTGCCACAACCCGGAAGCCGCACAAACTAGCACATGTGGTTTGAAGCCGTGCGTGCTTGTGACTGAACAGTAGCCGTCCAGAGCAATGCATGTCGCCCCGATCGAACGAGGAGAGTGTTTCTTCAGAGGCGAGCTCTCCCCAATCTTGATCAAAACCGCTTGCGAAAAATTGGCCAAAGCGCCTGACCAGTGGAAACCAGCTGCTGAGAGATGGAAGGAAGTTTATGACGACGTGCCTTGGGAAATCATGGTTCGCTACCTGCGTTACTGGCCACGTATTGGCTCCCGCATTACAGGAGGCATCAGGCTTCTTCGACGGTACGAAGGCCCCTTCCCGAAGTGTTATCAGGTGGGTGAAGGAGAAGAACCGCTGGAGTTGCCGCGCGTTTCTCTCGTTTGTGATTTTGTTTATGTTTGGAACGACGAAGATGAACAACAACGGCAGTGTGTCCTTCAGATGAAACACCTCTCACTTGTTGCCATCCGTCTCGGTGGTCCGGGGGAACTTCCTGACCTTGATGCTGGAGCAATACCTTTGACCGACCAGCTTCGTGCAAAGTTGGGGAGGAATTCCAAATGGCAATAATTAATGGATCTTGAGGCGGGAAGGCAGAGTGCCAGCAGCTGGGAAGGCAGAGTGCCAGACGTTGTCGCGTCACCCAGCTGTACCCTGCTTCGCCTGCACGTGATTCGCTTGACAGTGTGGTCAACGCAGAAAAGCGCAACATCCAGCAGTTCGTAGCAACTTCACGTGATTTGTGCATCCCTAATACTATCAAACCCTAAAACTATGGCACTCTGCCTTCTAGCCCCAAACCCTAAATACTAAAGACCCTGAAACTCTAACCCTAACCCTTTCATTACCCTCAAACCCTAACACTATGGCACTCTGCCTTCTAACCCCAAACCCTAAATATACTAAAGACCCAACTCTAACCCTAACCCCTTCTTGCAGTAGGACTATCCCATTATCTTGGAAACGTTCTGGCTGCACATTCTGTTTTTGCTGCACCGAAAATCTGCCATTCTGAGATCAGCAGTCTGAAATCAGCAGTCTGAAATCAGCAGTCTGAAATCAGCTTCGTCTGAAATCAGCAGTCTGAAATCAGCAGTCTGCATTTCTGTCATTGCAGTGGAGCAAAGCCGAGTACGAAGTTTGCTCAGCACATGCTTCAATGGATGGCCACCTGTTCTTCTTCTTTTTATTATTTTCATCATCTTTATTGTTAGTACTATTCATTAAGGTGCCTGCATCATAGAGCCATGAGTTGTTCTCAGTTTTGTTTGAGCACAGGACGTGTTCGATGAGCTGAAGTTGGTGAAGGAGTCGTTTGCCATGTCCTGCTTCGGGGCCCAGGGACAGCTTTCTGGACAGCCTCTTGGTGCATTGGAGTCGGTTTGCACTCGATTGAGATTGAGGTTTTGGGCCGGTCAGTGGTTGTCGCAGGAAAACTTTTGCAACCCACGTAGCCGGGCCGATGAGACGTTTCCAACTCTTCCTTCGGCATGTGCGTCCTCAACCTCTCAACTCCTGTTGCCGACTGCTTTCGGCTCAGGGTTGCAACTCGGCACAGGTAGGGCTCGTGGACAGGAAGCTGTCCGACTATGATGCCTATGAAGGTTGTGTCCGAGCTGTTCCCCGGGCCCGGGAGCAGCTGGCCCAAAATCTCGGGCTGCCAGAAGGAGCCTAAGCGAGTCGGCTGCCTTTGGAGTCCAACGTCAATTCACCACCAGCCTGTACAAGTTCAGTCTTTCAGCACGATGCCGTTTCCCGCAGGACCGATAGACAAGCAAGACCCATGTCCGAGAAAGCACTGGGTCAGGATTAGTGAGACCGAAGAAGCAGCCGCATGGAGGATCCTACAACCGCAGGTCTATGTGGACAACATCCTGACCCAGTTGTGTCCTGACTTGCCCGAGCAGTTTCTTCGATCGTTGTTGCCGGATCCAAGAGCCGACTTCACCGACAAAGACTGGAGATATGAATGTGTTCGTGCCCGAAGGCTTCTCAGGCTCTTATGGTGGCTTAACCATCCTTCTTCTCTCAAACAAATCGCAGCCCATTCAAGGACCCAGAGACAAGATAAGCGGACCGCTTTCGTGGCCTCCCTTGTACAGATGTGTTCCCACTTGCCCGAGGCATTCGTCCGATCTTGTTTGCCGGATCCTATGGCAGACGTCGGAAAGACGTGCTGGGAGAAAGCATTGTTTTCTGCTAGACGGCGCCTCAGGTTGCTGTCTTGGCTCCATTTCCCAGATTTGGGCCAGATAGCAGATGGTGATGTTTGTGTTTCCGTTGCACAGACTCAAATGTGCTGACTGGAGGGTATCACAGCTGGCAGGTTAATAACTCCGACGCGGGCCAGCCTCCAGTTTGGTCGGAGTGGCCGATGGTTTGCAGATCTCTCTGGCGATAAGTGACAGACAATAAGTTAGTGTGACAATAAGTTTTCATTGTGATTTTTAGAATTGACTGTCAGGAGTTTTGTTTCGTATGTTTTGCACATCAGCAGTCTGAAATCAGCAGTCTGAAATCAGCTTGTTCTGAAATCAGCAGTCTGAGAGTTGCCGTGTTTGAGATCTGCTGCTGGCAGTGCGGGGCACCTGTTCATCATGAATCATGATGAGCAGATGCCACGCACTGCAATGAAGGAAACAAGGTTGTTTCATTGTTAGTGTGTTTTGGGTTGCAGGTCTGTAGTGGGATATTGTTTTGTTCTTAGAGCTCTTGGACAGCTCCGGGTCGTGCTTGTAAGCTTTGGGGACAAGTTTCTTTATCAGGTCCGAGGGGTGTTTTAAAACTGCGGCTGCTTAGACATTGTTAAATAATACTACTATCATTGCACAGCCTATTATGGACAGACATTGACAAAATGCCCCTCGCATAAATCACAAGGGCCCGGGGACAAGCCCGAGAACAGACTCAGAGGGGTTTGCTGGCAGCGTGGCAAAATATTGACAGGCTTGCTGTCGCTGTCTGGTTGTTATGTGTGTCTGTGCCTGCTGATGCTTTGATGCTGCTGCTTATGATGTTATCAATCAAAACATAAATTTGTTTTTTAATTTGCACCCGGCCCCCTGTTTAACCCCAAGATTGTTCGAGGTCAGCATGTGTGGTGTACGGCAACGACAAGTACTTGATCCGCTGCTTGAAATACATGTCGGTCCGGCTGAGACCAATGCTGCTTTTCATGGATTAGAATTTAGGGTGTCGGTTTGCTTTCTCTTGATTGTGCATTGTGGCCCCCTGCCCTGGGCAAAATCTGAGGTTTCGCACGCTGAACCCTGACATTCCGGATATTTGCTTGGTCCGCGGTCTCACGGGGTCTTACATCTTCGCTGCCACTGGACTCGCCAAAATGCAAGGTTGTGCTACATTAGAACAGTGCTCAGCTCCGGACACTTGTTGAGGTCACAGATCTGATCCTTTTGCGGCACCGGCGGAACGATTTGGCCACTCGAAATGTGGCGGAGATTCTTGAGCGGGTTTGCAAGAACCTGGTGGACCAGGACGGGCATCAGCACTGTATTGATTTCGCCCCGGCCATGATTATTTGTTTCTGGCAGGATCTGGACGAGGTCTTGATTTCTCGGCCACGACCGGGCGGCCTCGCCAAGCGGAGGCGAGTGGTCACGATGAGGTTCGAGGCCAGGCTTGTCAGAGTGCGAGTCATTCCGCTTGAGTTTCGCTTGTGCTACGATTTCATGAATCCAAGCCCTGCAGGATCGCGATGTTGAGATCACAAGGCCGACTGCAGCACCGGTACCATGGCAACTTCATTCATGTGAGCTGCTTTCATCAGACATGCAACAGAGTTTTGCCTCAAGCACTCGGAAAATTGTGTAGACCCCGAACATCATGGATTGGGCTGCTTCTGACGTGCTCGACAACATCTTGATGTACGTGTTGCCGATCAGAACCAGAATCACATTCATTACCCGTCTCGATCCAAATGATGACCCAGAAGAGGCACAACCCATAACCGAGACCATGGTGGCGTACACTTTCCTGCGACGTGGGATACAGGAATTTCGGCTGTCCTCTTCGGTTGAGTGGACCATGGGCTTTCAGTCTTTGCATACCACCATCCGTTTTGCACAAATCAATGCCGTGGCATGCACCATGTTGAGCAGCCCGTCAAAAAGGTGGATGAGAGCTGTCGTAGACCTAGTACAGGAGCGTTTGCGAGTGAGTATTGTGTCACTGGCCAGCGTTGCGTACCAAACTGCAACTCAGTGTTGCATGTACTTCGATGCTGATGCGGAAGAAGCAGAAGTTGAATTGCACTTAGTGCATAGACTGCGCCTCCTGAGGTTTCGTAGCCCACTCTCCTAGGTTTCCTGAGCATAAGACTCTCCCATGAAATTCAGTGAAAAAGCAGCGCGCAAACACTGTTTACATTACAAGGTGAGTGCCACTGTCCTGCAAGTGCTGTGCAAGCCTGCACAACGGCCGCCCGAAATACCCCAAAGACGCTGTTGTTTAACAGTTGGCCGAAATGACAAGATCTAATAACTTCAAGCAGCTGACTCTTCTGACTTTGAGAGTGTGATTCGAGACCTGCGACACGATGTGTCAAGTGTGTGTTCCTTGTGCGGGAGTGAAATTGCCTGGCCGAGGTTGGGCCCGGACCTATCATGATGACTGCAAACGGGGATCCTCGACCTTGCAAGTTTGGCTGATTTTTGAAATTGGTTTGTGATTTCGATCCTCGGTTGTGTGCGGGGATCTGTTCTTGCAGTCTTGATCAGGAATGGGAGATCCTCTACTAAGATGCAACGGCTTGCTTGATGCGAAGCAGGAATGGAGCCTTGGCTCAAAAATTGCGACTGTCCAAGAGCTTCCATGGCTGCCCTGTCATTGCCCGGTGTGTGTGTGTGTATATGTTTGCACATCATGGGTCATTGTACATTGTAGTTCACACCAACTGCCCCCAGACTCTTTCCCGCTCTGGTCGCTGGCTGTGGTTGTTCGTGTACAGTCTAAGGAGACACCACGATTCCGGAGGATTCTGACTTCATCTCGTTGGTTACAACGGATCTAGATTTGTGCCTTGGACATCAAGGAGCTGCCTCCCAATGTCTAGCGAATCCGAGCCACTTTTTCAGCCCGCTTCAGCTTCGGTCTCAGGTGCCCTATGTTTGTGATTTGCAATCGATGAGTTATTTGGCTCGGCTTTGCCACCACGACCCTTCTGATCGAAAGGTGGCAATCGGGCTTTTGCAACTTGGTTCAGCAAGCGCTTTCGGCTGCAAGTGCAATTTGTGTGTTGTGGGGGCAAGCCGGTAAGCTTCACTGCCTTTCCCTGGCTAGCTACTTACCATAGAGGGTTAACTACCTACTTATCATAATAGACAGGAAGCCGAAGCTTATGATTATGTAATTACATTGCATTCGCAACAGTGCCTGGGGTGCAAGTAGGAAATTCGGTGCACAGCATTCGGGCTGCTGCCGCCTTACGGGACTAAAGTATCCTACAACCTATAGTATAGGGGCCTTAGTCCTAAAGTTCAGACAGACTCGGCTAGCAAAGCCGTTCTCAGCAGCGGCGGCGAGCCGCTGATTCAGCACGTTCCTGGGTTGCGGGGAAAATGGTGAGCCGACGGCTGTGTTTATAGTGGGGTTTAAGGACACGGTTTTATATGGTTTTGTCTGGGAGAGCAACCTTTTCTTTCTCGTGAGCTTAGTCTGAAATCAGCCGTCTGAAATCAGCTTCGTCTGAAATCAGCTTCGTCTGAAATCAGCAGTCTGAAATCAGCATAGCCATGATGCCTGCCACTCCTGAGTGGCCAGCCTGTGCGTTCTCGTCCTGGTACAAGGAAAACAAGAGTGGCAGTGCCTGGGGTGCAAGTAGGAAAATCGGTGCAGAGCATTCGGGCTGCTGCCGCCTTACGGGACTAAAGTATCCTACAACCTATAGTATAGGGGCCTTAGTCCTAAAGTTCAGACAGACTCGGCTAGCAAAGCCGTTCTCAGCAGCGGCGGCGAGCCGCTGATTCAGCACGTTCCTGGGTTGCGGGGAAAATGGTGAGCCGACGGCTGTGTTTATAGTGGGGTTTAAGGACACGGTTTTATATGGTTTTGTCTGGGAGAGCAACCTTTTCTTTCTCGTGAGCTTAGTCTGAAATCAGCCGTCTGAAATCAGCTTCGTCTGAAATCAGCTTCGTCTGAAATCAGCAGTCTGAAATCAGCATAGCCATGATGCCTGCCACTCCTGAGTGGCCAGCCTGTGCGTTCTCGTCCTGGTACAAGGAAAACAAGAGTGGCAGTGCCTGGGGTGCAAGTAGGAAAATCGGTGCAGAGCATTCGGGCTGCTGCCGCCTTACGGGACTAAAGTATCCTACAACCTATAGTATAGGGACCTTAGTCCTAAAGTTCAGACAGACTCGGCTAGCAAAGCCCTTCTCAGCAGCGGCGGCGAGCCGCTGGTTCCTGGGTTGCGGGGAAAATGGTGAGCCGACTGCTGCATGACATGAGTTCGCTGCATGCAGCACTAGGAAGCCATACTATGAACACATGGCCTGCCGCTTCTCGCTTGATTGAGCACAATTGAAAGGTAAGTTTTAGACTAGACTGTGAAAGCGCGTCCCGACCAAATCCATGAAACAAGGCAAACAAAGCTTGGACAACTTCTTGTGCATGGGCTGCCTATCAACATTCTTCCTGCTGGGCTGCCTTGCCTAGTCTGCAGCGGAGACTTGACTGCCTTTGGCCGTCTTCCTGGCGGGCTTTGACTGCTGGCCTTACCTGGCCAGTCTTGGGCTGATTCTTTCCTCTGGCCTTACCTGGCGAGTGTTGGGCAGAGATCCACCCAAGGCTGCAGAGCAGGCAGCGACGGCCATGAAGGTCTCGAAGGTTATGAAGAAGCCCTCCCAGGCCATGTATTCGACGGCAGCCAGTGCGAAGGCTGATAAAGACAAGAACAACAAAGAGAAGAAGAATGATGATGACAAGAAGAATTTTGATGACAAGAATAAAAACGATGACAAGGCCATCGTCGCGAAGTTGGAGGAGCAGGTGGCTAGCCTCCAGCAGCGAATGTCGAATGCTGAAAGCAGTGTGAAACTGCTACATGGTGTCACTTTTTCAATGGCTCGACGAATCAGCCGTGGGCTCCCGATGAGTGAATCCAGCGACAATGACGAGAAGAACGTCATTGTCGGCAAAGATGAAGACAATGACGTCCACGACCATGCAGAACCTAGTAGCATATGGAACGTGCTGGAAAAGGGGCAAATTTTTTGAGAAAGATGAAGACGGCTCAGGCCAGCCGGCTCCAAGAACACCTGAGTGGCCATCCCGGCACACGTGAGTAGATGTAGAACTGCAGCAGCAACAGACAGCAACATCCACACACAGACACAGCACACAACACACAGCAACACAGCACACAGCACGCAGCATAATACCGCACCGCGGCACACAGCAGCCTGCACCGCAGCACACAGCACACGAGGGGTGATGTTGTTTTCACGGTCGGGCTGAGTGCGCTATTAAGGATTCATATAGGGCGACATTACTTTATATTCTTTTTGTGAGTTCTGAATACATAGCCTGGGCATAGGCCGGGTTATAGACTAGTATTTCCGAATACTGACTAGATTCGGGGGGGGCATGCTCGGCCCAACTGAGTTTTTGGAAGATGTGCCGGTGAGTTTTGGAAAAAAGTGCGGGGTGATCGGGGTTTTAGCTTCCGGGTTTTTTGCCTACTTCCTTCCCGCTTCCCGGTAGTTAGGGTACATTAGGGTTTATAGTGGGGTTTAAGGACCCGTTTTTGTATGGTTTTTTCAGGGAGAGCAACCTTTTCTTTCTCGTGAGCTTAGTCTGAAATCAGCAGTCTGAAATCAGCCGTCTGAAATCAGCTTCGTCTGAAATCAGCAGTCTGAAATCAGCAGTCTGAAATCAGCATAGCCATGATGCCTGCCACTCCTGAGTGGCCAGCCTGTGCGTTCTCGTCCTGGTACAAGGAAAACAAGAGTGTCTAGCCTCGGAGAATTTGAGGTGTTTTTTTCGTGTGTCTTGATTTGATTTCAATGAGATGGCAGCGTTTGGGGCTTACAGATTTCGTTGTTTCCCTGCTGCCTTCATTGTTGAGATGGCTGTTGTGGCTGTGGTGTCAGCGTCGTATCCGAACATTGAGGCGGGATCCAGGTATTTCAGCTTTCATGCGTCCTGTGGTTGAAATGATTTGCAGGCTGTGCCCATGACTGCCAGATTGTTGATTGGCAACGAGAAGGCAGTTCGGAGTCGAGGTCCCAGTTTTACTTCTTTGGACATGAAGGTGATGTGACCGAAACGTGGATGTCATCAGTGTCTATAGACCCTCTGAGGTGGCAATGAGTTTGCATACAGGAAGCCTGAAGGTGGCCTGCCTCTGTTGGTCTGTGACACGAGGACTGTGTCAGGCCTGGGAAGAGCCATGTTAAGTCACATGTGCAGTGTTTCAAGCATGTAGTTTTCGTTGTTTATTTGATAGGAGAAGATGGAAAAGTAATGGTTTTGGCACCCACAGCGGTTGCGACCTCGGTGGGTGTGTCAGATGAGACCTTGAATGTGTATTGAATGAAGCCGTGAGCTTCACTTTAGCAATTGATCAGTTGTAGTTCTTTTCAACCTTTCCTGAGGACGGTCATTGGTTCTGCGGGGAGGGCACTTGGAATGAGGACCACACCGACGTGACAAGAGAGAGGGTGTGTTTCCGTTGCACAGACTCAAATGTGCTGAATGGAGGGTATCA